AGGTGTAAAGGCTTTAAGGAACATTAAGGGCGGTCGGTCGCACTTTGGTAGGCCGCAATAGAGTTGCAGAATAGGAAGAGCTGGTCTAGATAGAATGGAAATAGTCCAATAATTGCTGGAAGAGAAAATAGGTTTCCCATGAATCTGTCTTGCCATTGTTCTCCAGCTTTTCAGCATTCCCACGTTCTTTTGGACCTGACATTGGTCTGCCCATATCATCTTATCCTTGTTTTGACCTGACCTCTGTCTCCGCAGTGATGCCCGACTCGTCATACCGCTCCGCCGTCAAGAGCGGTGCCCAGTGGGAAGAGCCAGACACAGTATTCGGCGCTGGCTCCGACAGGAAGCCGTTCTCTAAGGTAGAGACCGGCTCCTCCTTCTTCTCCACCTATGGTTACACCAACCGAAAGAAGGACTATGTGGCAGAGAAGGTGCGTGATTATTACTACTTCGGGGACAAGGCGAAGGTGCGTCACACCGTCGGAAGAAGCCTCCACTCAGCATGGACTGGCTTAGATCGTCATTTTACTTTTTTTATTCTTCAAGTTAACATCCTAGAGTCTGTTTCACGGTCGCCCTCCGTCAACGCCTGTGGCAGTAGGATGTGATGTCAGACAGCTTGAATTGCCTGAGCTAGAGTAGACCGACGGCTTGGCTGTTGTTAGACGTGTGATGTCACGCCTTAGTGTCGCATGGTCCTTGAGCGAACGACAGGTATCTGGTGACTCTCGGCGGCCGCGCCCTTGCTCTCGCGGCGCCCGACGCTGCACGGCGCTACAGGGAACGGGGCCCGCACATGTATGCTTGGTATGAGAGTCGTGTGCATAGTAGGATGACCTCCTAGACGACAGGGGTTTAGAGTGATTTAAGATGCAGACGGAAGGAGAAGGAAGGCCTTACTAGGGAAGCAGAGACAACATCTGAACTCAGCCCAGAGTCTAAGCACTCATCAGCGAAAGCAAAAGCCTTGGACTGGATTCAGCTGTCTCTCCTGTCTCGCTCCAAAGCTTCCCCCGGTAAACTTATTTCTCAGCTTCGTCTGTTTCTTAGATCACGCCCCTCGGCCTTACGCACGGGCGGGGTCGCGGGCGCCAGAGAGGTCAGCAGATACGGTGAGACTGACGATAGAGTGCCTTGGAGTAGAGCGCCTCCGCCCGCCCGCGCGCGCGCACCGACTGCCGTGGGCGTGCGGGCGGAGTGGCCAGTGTGCTGGGAGTGTTGCTGAGCCTCGAACCAATTCCTCTCACAGATGCAACTCACACTGTGCAGACTTTAACATCGCCGCTTCCTCTTCGTGGCTTCGTGCTATTAACGACGATTGTCTTTATCATTTGACTATTAAAACACTAGTTCAATAGCTTCGATTGACTAGTCACTAATCTCTCCCCTGTAAAAGCTAAAACGGTTAAATCTCCTCGATCATAATAATCTTAACTCCATTCAATTCCCAAAGGTAGGTGAATGCTGAAGGTAACAAGTCATAATCTACCGAAAGGATTAAATCCCTCGTAATTAATGTTTCCGCTTAATTAACGCAAATGTCAACTTAACACGCCGCTTGCACTACCACGGTACAGTGTGTGACGATCGCCGAACTGGGCTCGCTTGGCTGGCAGTGTAAACAGTGCGATGTAGGTCACGAGGGAGAGAGAGAGAGAGAGAGAGAGAGAGAGAGAGAGAGAGAGAGAGAGAGAGAGAGAGAGAGAGAGAGAGAGAGAGAGAGAGAGAGAGAGAGAAACAGACAGATAGGTAGATGAATAGACAGACTGGGAAGGAAAGAAGGGGAGAGAAGAAAATATAAGAGTGATAAGGAGGTAGAGAGAGAGAGAGATGGGGGAGGGAGGGGGAGATAGATGGATAGCTGGTTAGAGAGATAGATATATCGATAGACAGTCTGAGAAGAAAAGAAGGGGAGAGAGAAGGGGGAGGAAAAAAATAAGAGTGATATGAAGGTAGATAAAAGTTAATCGGAAAGTAACGGAAATGGAGAGAAAAAGAAAATGAAGCCACCTTAGGAGAAGGGTAAAAGGGAGAAGAAGAGATAGAGAGGGAGTGAGAGTGTGAGAGAAATAGACAGGGACGTTGATAGTTAGAAAGCAAGAGAAAGAGGGGGGAAGGATAGATAGATAGAGAGAGAGAGAATGAGAGAAGAGAGGGAGAGAGAGAGGAGAGAGAAGAAAGGGAGAAAGCGTGAGAGAGAGAGAAAGAGAGAGAGGAGAGAGAAAGAGAGAGGAACGATGAACCGAGAGCAACAGAGCCAATTAACCAGAATGAACACACGACACCCGCAAGCAGCTCCATCTCCCAGCACACTTAGCTCCGAGTAAACTTTGCGTTCCTCCCCGAAGTTGTGCCTTAGCCAATGCAAATGAAGTCAGTGAAACAACCAAATCAAATTAAAAAAAAGAAAGTGTAGCTGTTCTAGTACTTGTCCCTCAAGTCAACCACTTGTATGAAACTCAAACAGATTTCCGTGAAAGGCATCGTCTCTTGCTGCTATCCCTCGGTGAGGTAGAAACAAAGATCGGATGCTGGAAATGTGTTTTCGATTCTGCTCTTCGTTTCCTTCAGTGGTTGGACGGGTTTAGCAAATGCTGCAGAACATGGCACTTGTTTTTGTAGCCCTAATCTGCCCCATGTCCTTCCTTCTAGCCTGGCCAAGTAAGACCCATTCACATTGGAGCTTCTGGAGTCCTATTCTGTGCTTCTCACTGATGGTTTTAAAGCCTTTTGGTCTGTCAAGGCGAATACGAGGACACCCTGAGCGACCAAAGGCTGACCGCGATGCTTACTTGGCCACGTGTTTAGTATTAATAAGAAATTTCGCTTTTTAAGTCGAAAATCTCATCTAAAACAACGGATGCTCGACCTCTGTGTGGGACTCCTATATAGACTAGCAAGTAGGTATGGGACAGAAGGAGCCTGGCGGTCAAACTATCAAAATCAGGGCGACGGTTTAAAGTCTTAGGGCAGATACGCCTCGTTTCATTACTCGCCAATGTTTGCTCTTCCCGTTGACAGTTTGACCTTTCCTGTTCCGAGAATCTGGATCTGTTTCGATTGTTCAGCTTTTCCTACCCTTGACTTATTTCTTTCACTTACTATCTTTTTTTGTTCTTTTCTTATTATTTTTCTTTTTCTTTCTCAATTTTGTTCAGACAGTAGTGCTAAAAGCTTTGATTATTCATTTTCTCTATTTTATCTACACATTTTTTTTTTTATATCCACACATTTTCTTTCTCTCTTTCTCTTCTTTTCAAATGATATTTTTTCGTAGTGTGCAATAGAGATAAAGCATCCTTTATTCCTCTTCTCCATCTGATAGATAAAGCGCCACAGTTACATAGACAATTCTCGTAGCTTAGATACACGTGAAACAGCCTCCAAAAGGTTCCTGGGATATTCAGATGTTGCAAAATCAGCTAGTGGGTCATAGACCTTTAATATTGGCCCAAACCTCTGCTTAATCAAACGTAAAGTCTGCAATTTACCTCAGTTTAGTAGTCGACGAAGAAACGCTCCTTTTTTTAGGTCACAATAGATCATAGTATATTTTGTTTTATGGAATCAGTTGATACTATGATTCTGATGCTATGGAGGGTAGACTTAGCTTTTTTACTTTGTGTAATTGAACTAGTCATTTTTTCTGTACTAAGGATGATAATTTTAAGGTAGAGTAAACTGACATAAGGTTCATCAAATATTATTAGCATCTCGAATATGGTCAATAGTGTGACAGTTTGCAGTTATCATTGATATAAGGGTTGGTATCTTTATCATTGTTCTTTTAGTGTTATTAACGTTGATATCATATTACTGCCAAAGTTATTGTTATTGATATTGTTATCATTATCGTCCTTTTAATTATTATCACTGATATTATTGTCATCCTTTTATTGCAATATTTTATTATTCTTATTATCATTATTATATTATATTACTATTATTATTATTACATTATTATTAATATTATTATTATCGTTAATTTTATTATTGTTATTATCATCATCATCATCAGTTCTATCATTGTCTTCATTATCATCTCTATCAAAACTATTATTACATTATTATTATTATGATTATTATCATATTTTTATCATTATCATCATTAGTATTATTTTCATTGTCATCATTATCATTATTGTTATCATTATTTTTTGTTATTATCATTATCATTATTAGTAGTAGTAGCATTATCATGATTATTGTAACATTATCATTACTATCATTATTACTATTATTATTATTGTTATATTATTATTATTATTATTATTATTATTATTATTATTATATTATTATTATTATTATTATTATGATCATTATTATCATCATTATATTATTATCATTATCATCCTCATTGCCCTTGTTATTATCATTATTATTATCATTACTATTATTACCAATATTATCATTAGCACCATCACTATTATCATACCAGTATGGTTAACATTGTTATATCATTATTGTTTTTATCAGTTATTGTTATCATTGTTACCATTATCCTTATCATAATTACTATCATTATCATTATTGATATTATTATTATTATTATTATTATAATTATTATTATTATTATTATTATTATTATTATTATTATTATTATTATTATATTATTATATTATTATATTATTATTATTATTATTATTATTATTATTATCATTATTATTACCATTATTATAATTTTCATAATTGATAATGGTATTGATGTTGTTGCAAATGTTAATATTACTATCACTGTCACTAACTATCGTCATCTTCATTGTCATTACAATTATTGTCTGTTCGTTATTATTATCATTATCATTATCATCATTATTATTATCGTTGCTATCATTATTATTACCTTTTTATTATTATTGTTATCATTATTTCTGTCATTATTATTATATTATCATTATGTTATTATTATTACTATTTGATTTATATTATTATTATTATATTATTATGTTGTTATCATATTGTTGTTGTTGTTGTTGTTATTATTATTATTATTATTATTA